TTGTTTACCGTCAAATAATTAGATTAATCCAATATTCTTGAAATTGCCCTTTTTTAGACAAGGAATAGATCTGCAATAAGCGGTTTGTATCACAACTTTTCTGCGCTCAATGGTTGCGAAATGTGAATCGAATGAAAATGGTCGATTTTCAGCCGATTTTCAGCCCCGTTGGGACTCGCTAAATTTCATGAAATTGAGTCGGAAGGTTAAATCGGAAAATGTCGTTTTTCTCGGAAAGACAAAGCTATTTCAAGGAAAAAAACTACAGCCTGTTTGCACTCTTGCTAGGCGCTGGCTTTATGCATAAGACGAGTGGATTTGAATTTTCTAGCCTTACCGAAGAAATGTGATTTTGTTTGATTTTTGTGGGAATTTGCTCTTGATAACTTAGAAATGACAGTGATATGTGGACTATGTTGGCAACGTGCATTGACAACTGTTGTTACTTCAAAATGATCTTTAACATTTTGTTAGGTATTTGATTGTTAATAACTTAGAAATGAAAGTGATATGCTGGCAGATTTGTTGAACACAAAGAGTTCAACTTCGACCACATGTAAGTCAAAAATAGACCTTCTTTCTCGGAAACACTGATCGCTTGTTTACCGTGTACTTGAATTCTTGGAAACGCAGATACCGTCCATGGAGGGCATGGGAACAGCCTTCGTGAAATTTATTTTTAAAATCGTAAGGTTGTTGCTTTTAACCCAAGAAAATGAAATTCATATCTTTACTGAAGCCACCCCGTAATTTCCTTTTTATCATATAGACAAACTGACTGTTTGCATAAAAAGTGCAAAATGGGGAAATGACGTAGTCAGAGGCAAGATTTATTGCAGTTCTCGGAATCAAGGAAGACCTTAGGACTGAATCAATCCTTAGTCTTGTTCTCAAGCGTCACCTGTTCAGTCATGTACTGCACGAGTGGCGTACCCTCAACCGAATATGTTTGAAACAATTACATCACATCTATTTTCGTATGTAAAGGCTGTAGTAAACATGTTTAAACGACTCAAAAAGGGTTAGATCTTTTCCCGGAAAAGCTGATTTTCTGGGAACTAGCTTCGGTCAGGGGAGAGGTGCTTAATTACTGACCCGTGAGATTCTAAGAAAAGCATCAACTCGGCCGCTACAAGCATGTATTTTTTATATTTTTTTGACACTGACGTCTCGAAGCTAAGTGGGTTTTCCTTTTAGACGAATAATTACCATATATGATTTTTAGCGAAGATCGTTTTATTTTCCAATTTTCTGGAAATAAACACCGTCCTTCAGGTTTAGCCACTGTGAACACATGTAGCTTACTTGTCATGATCACATTAAAGCACGCATACTACGGCTTCGTTATTAAAATGATTATAATTTCCCTCACATTTTACTTTTCGGTTAACAAAGCGGCGATGGACTGAACAGTATTAACGCACTTCCACTTGTATTTGTAATCTTTTAATCAAAGAACAATCCTACATACATTTAACGATTCTACGGCTAGACAGTTGTGCCAAATTAGCCGAATTACAAATTTTTACTTTTAAGGTGTTCGTATTTTTCTTTTTCACGATCTACTTTTAAGTTCTAGTTGTTCTAGTCTTCATGCTTGTCTAGTCTTTCTGGTTTTCACGCTTGTCAGCAGTGGACTGAGCACGCGCAGCGAAGCTTCCTTTCTCCACCCCGCCGCCATGTTGTTTTGCCTCAGCACTCTGGATGCGAGAAGCTGCCTCTTTATCCATCAAATTCTTAGATCCTCCGTCAGTCTTATGGCCTGCCTCTTTGTCCATTCTTGCTGCAAATTCGCTACGAAAAAAATGAGGAAATTTGTTAAGTTCCGCTATACGGAGAAAACAACGAGTCAAACAACAGTGATTGTAGCAACACAAATTTCACCCAGATTGAAATGTCAGACTTCTTTTTGATACAGATTACCAAGATCTAAACTGGCTTAAATCGAAAAGTTAACCAGTGATGCTGTCCTTAAGACTATATAGCTTCGCACAGAGTTTCATAGATCAATTGCTCATCCCGTCCTTCACAAATTTTCATTCAGTTCCAGAAGAAGTATATGCTTGTTGAAAGGAATATTTCAGATCGAGCGTCGTTTTATTTACGTCTTGCCACGTTGCATTTAGCAATACCTGGCAGTATTCGTTTAATTCTGCCGGGTAAAGGTAGATGAACTTGAGTTTTTTTTTCAGGTAATAGCTTCTTCAATCTTTGTCTCCGATGCAGCTAACGGAGATATATATTTTGCAATATTTCCTGTCACGGTCTTGGAGGCCATCTTGATGGGTAGGTAGGCAGCAACGCCAGAATTGCAGTGTTTCTCTTTGAATCCAATGGCAAATAATTTTCTTTAAGATGGAATTCCGAACAATTTATCACTAGCAAAGCTGAGATACTGGATAAAGGATTCCGTTGACCAAATTTAAGGGAAGTAGCTGTGCTTGAAAGCGTCAAGTCGCGTTTTAATTTTCCACCGCCGCTTACGAGTTCGTGCCAGTTCATCTGTATATAAGGTCCTTTCACCATATAAAACTCGCTTTATTTCGAGACCAATGCCAGTTAAATGTCTACAAATCTTTTTTGCAGCACGTGTCTTATGCTACACTCGTGAACTTCCCAATAAAACGGACATTAAAAAACGAGAGAGTAATAGCTACACTACCAAAAATGCTTGCCCTTCTTAATCAAAGGATCTTCCGAAGACTTCACAGCAATTTCACGGCGAAGGCTTCAAGCGATGATATAGCATTTACACTTAAAATTCTTAAATAGGAACAAATAAGAAACGCTTATTACCTTCAAGGAAATGAGCTGAAATTTGTAAGACGAATCCCCGTGAAATTTTGAAGTCTCCTTCCAGGACCGTTTTACCTTTGGGATGAGTGATTTTGCATTCAGATGCCTCTTTATTAAAGT